TTTGGGCTGAAGCATCCAAACTATTTGAAAAATGTTTAGAATTTAAATTACCTATATTCAATAAAAAATCAAACATGAATCTAAAAAACAATCAAAGATACATTTTCCGTTACTACGGTACCTACAAAAAGTAGAGTTCAAAATGTCCATATTAAGGGAAAGCCCTAAAAAGGGTATTATTTAATTAGCCAACATTAGCATACCTAATGCAGGTAGATCACACGCCGAGTTCGGCATTTGTCTACGCTCGGGCAAAGTGAATACTGATTGGTGAATACCGGCATTCCCCGGTTTTTGCGGACGCTTCCAGGAGGCCCCGGGGGGCTGCCTAGTGTCACCATCTGAGAGGGCAAACAGGACAGGCTGATTCTGTGACCACTTCATAAGTACTATTCCTCCTTTTTTGTTCGTAAAGCGCAATTAGTTAGCTACTATAACACAATCATATTAATTGCTTACTTTGGGGCTAGATGGCGCTGTGTGTAATTGTCCAAAGAGATTTATTTCATTAGTACCTATTTATTTTTCTCACATGTTATGAATAATAACTTTATGGTCAAAAGAAGTAAAAAGTTGGTCACCAATTTCTGAATAAAATTTTGATTAAACAACTCATTTTAATTAAAAGACAATCAAACTCAATAATTTTATTTTTAGTTTTCCTCAACACTCATGAGGTAAAACTTTAAACAGTTGTATGTTTATAACTATTGATGAAAGGAATGGCCAAATTAAAATTTGTGTCTCGCAGAAACCAGTATACTTGGTGACAACAATGCCGAACCACCTACTAAGTTTCTTGGCATAATCTCTCGCATACGATTACCCTACAAACGCGACTGAGATTCGTTTTTGTGGACTAAGATCGCATGATTATGCGAATTTTTAGTACCCCCCGCCCACCTACTCAGATAATTCCGAATAATTATCCTCGTTTCTAAAGACCTGAAAACGGATACCTGATATTTTTTCCAAGCCAATGAACATGATTCTACTGCTCGTTTTATTTACTTTAATTATTTTGATAATGCTATTGAAAATAATTTATAATAACTTCACCATTTTAAAATACACACACTAATTAGCAATCATTAAATTAATGTTGAAATAAACGCTTTTTCACGATTACTGTGGATAAGTAAACAATATTATGGACGTATAAATATTTATATTATTCTATTTGTAAAGGTAAAGAGATAAGTAATTAATTAATTATAAAGTAAGAAACGTCTTCAATGGGCCTTGAACAAAACACATTGAACTCATTCACATCTGTCGATGTGTAGAGGAGCTGTTCATTAATTTGCTGGAAGTGTTTCGCCGGATACGAATGTAGGAGACTACCCACATTTAATTTCCGTGTCAGGTTGCAATGTAAAGTATTATTGATGGGCGAAATTCAATGGGAATGCCAATTAAAATGCCGATATCATTATTTTATTTAATTTTTAAAGAAAATAGTCGTTAAGGTGAGTTCATACTGTCATTATACTGTAGGTAGATTAGACCGTGTGTACCTAACCTGAACCTAACTTCAGCCTAACGGTCGTTTAGGGTATTTAAATTAAACGCCGATAGAAACAACTAAATTACGTTATTATTTCGAACACAGATTTTTACAGAGATAGAACAAGGTAGTAGGAAGTAAAAGTACTAGAAAACAGTTAGCAAGCAGAGAGGAAGAGAAAAGTTAAAGTTATAAGGCAAGAAGTAAGAAAATAGCAGTTGAGCACTAGGAATTCTAGATTACGAGTTAGATTTCACGGAGCGTGCGCGCGGCCTCTCTGCGTGGAAAGCAAAATCGGTCTGGTGAATCGAGAAAATCGATGATCCACGATTGAGCGCCGATGACGCCCGAAACACGAAGGTGAGCGAGGTATGCCGAGCGCGCCCGATGTCCGTGCCTGTGGCGCCGCGAGGCGGTGGTATTTGAAGATGTATTCAAATATTATAGGTCACCGCTACAGTACTCCCCTGCTGAGACCGTTACTACGGTCGGTAGCAATCTCGGAAGCGAACTCTTCGGCCGCTGCGTGTTACCTTCTCGCTTTCAGTAGCTGCATTGGGCGTGGGTGTCGTTTCTGTATCGCTTAGTATGTATGCTGGTTTCAGACGGTCGACAGAAACAGTAACTTCTTTTCCAGACACGTCCAGCTTATAATGCTTCGAGTGACGTTCTACAATTTTGTATGGCCCAGCATACGGGGGTTCTAGTGGTCTTCGTACGTGATCCAGCCGCATGAACACGTGGGATGTAGTTGCGAGATCTTTGGGCACGTAGAACGAACCTTTCCTATGCCAGGCTGTCGGTTTGGGAGCCAGTTTGGACATTTGCATACGAAGTCGATTAGCGAAGTCAGCGGTGTCATCAGGTTCATGGTGTTCCTTCGGTGCTAGGAATTGTCCAGGGAGACGAAGAGGTTCGCCATAGACTAACTCGGCGGCTGATGATTGGATGTCGTCTTTCCACGAGCTGCGTATGCCTAGCAACACCAGAGGGAGCGCTTCCGTCCATTGTGTGGTGTTCTGGCACATGATTGCGGCTTTCAGCTGACGGTGAAGGCGTTCGATGATGCCGTTGGAGATGGGATGATAGGCAGTGGTGCTGAAGTGGTGTGCGCCCATCAGAGAAGCCAGCGCCTTGAACAGGCGCGACTCGAATTGGCGGCCTCGATCCGTCGTGATTTTGAGAGGGCAGCCGAACCTAGCTACCCAGCTAGATACCAGTGCCGCTGCGCAGGTCTCCGCGGTGATATCGCGAAGTGGAACTGCTTCTGGCCACCTTGTGTATCTGTCGATTATTGTCAGACAGTACCTGTAATCACAAGAAGTTGGTAAAGGGCCGACGAGGTCGAGATGGATATGGGAGAATCTCGACGAAGGGTTGGAGAAAGTGGAAAGGGGAGCATGGGTATGTCGGGTTACTTTGGAACGTTGACATTCCAAACACTGCTTTGCCCACTCTCTACAGTTTTTTCGTATCCCTGGCCATACGAATCTCTGTGTTACCAGTCGCACTGTAGCAGTCCGTCCCGGGTGACACAAGTTATGTAGACTGTCAAATATCTGCCGTCTGAATTGCGAAGTAACAAAAGGTCGTGGTGTAGAAGTAGACATGTCACAATATATTTCATGCTTCGATTGTGGTAGAGTGACTTTTCTCAATGTGAGTGTTGTACCATTTTGTAGGAGGTCTCGTAACTCAGGATCTACTTCCTGTGTTTGTGCGAGGCTCTCGTAGTCGATAGCTGGCGTGACCTCTTCAACACGAGACAGTGTATCTGCTACAACATTATCCTTCCCTGGGATGTATCTGATATCTGTTGTAAATTGAGATATGAAATCAAGATACCTGTATTGTCTCGGTGAGCATTTCTCTTTGTTCGTAGAAAACGCGTAGCTGAGAGGTTTGTGGTCCGTGTACACGACGAAATCTCTAGCTTCTACCATGTGACGGAAATATCGAATGGCTTCATAGATTGCTAGCAATTCTCGGTCGTAAGGACTGTATTTTTGCTGCGATGGTTTAAGTTTGTGTGAATAGTAGGCTAGAGGTTGCCAGTTACCATTCTTTCTTTGTTGAAGAACGGCGCCAATGCCAACATCAGATGCATCTGTAGTAATCGCCAGTTCCGCTGATAAGTCAGGATGAGCCAATAGTGCAGCCTGTGAAAGTGATTGTTTACATTGATTGAAAGCTTCCAATTGTTCTGGAGTGAAGTTGACAGGAGTAGAACCTTTAATCTTAGGTCCGGCGAGCAATTGATTCAATGGGCCTTGAATTTGAGCTGCGTTCGGGATAAACCGTCGGGAGAAATTTAGCATTCCCAGAAATCGACGGAGTTCTTTAACAGTCTTGGGCAGCGTAAATTCCTGGATGGCCTGGGTTCTAGTACTCGTGGGTCGAGTTCCCTCTGCTGAGACACTGTAGCCCAAAAAAGTTACGTCAGACTTTCCCAAAACACATTTGTTTGTGTTGATCAAAATACCGTAATCTTTCAGGCGGGTAAACAGCTGACGCAGGTGTTCTTTGTGAAGAGCTGGAGTTTCCGAAAAGACCAGGATATCGTCAATATACCCGTAGCAGAAGTCCAGGTCTTTCAACACCTCATCCATGAAACGCTGGAAGGTTTGAGCTGCGTTTCGCAGACCAAACGCCATGAATGGGAACTCGAATAGACCAAACGGAGTTGTGATTGCAGTTTTCGCTATATCGGGAGGGTAGACTGGAATCTGATTGTACGCCTTTACCAGGTCTATTGTAGAGAAGATAGAGCATCCTGATAACTGGTGAGCAAAGTCCTGTATGTGACGAATGGGGTACCTGTCCGGTATTGTGCGTGCGTTGAGTGCTCTGTAGTCGCCACAGGGCCTCCAGGCGTCGTCGCTCTTTCTAACCAGGTGTAATGCTGAAGACCACGGGCTCTCGGATCGCTGTGCTGTTCCACAAGCTAACATGTCGTCAAACTCCTTCTTGGCAATCTTCAAACGATGTGGGTCGAGACGTCTGGGCTTGCAAGCTACCGGCGGGCCGGGTATTGTTCTGATGTGATGTACGGTATTATGTTTAGGCATATTGCACGTACCTGCCGGTCGAGCCACTTCCAGAAACTCACGCAAGATGGCGTGGTACTCAGACTCACCACAAACCGCTTTCACGGACGAGATGTGGTCACTGGATTCTTGTTGCTGTGCTGGCACCGACATTTTTGTAGTACCGTCAATCAGGCGTTTTTGTCTGCAATCAACCAGTAAATTGTAAAAACTCAAGAAATCCATTCCAATTATAGGCTTTGACACGTCAGCGATTGTGAAATTCCATGTGAAATTGCGTCTGAGTCCAAAGTTCAATTGAAGCGTTATAGGTCCATAAGTATGAATTACTGTGTTGTTGGCAGCTGTTAATTCGTATTTACATTTTGTGCAGGGCGCCTTGGTAGCTGACCGGGGAAATACACATAGATCAGATCCAGTATCTACTAAAAATGTCATCTTAGAAGAACGGTCAGTAACGAACAGGCGGCCTGAAAGTGGTAGGCAGTCGTTGGCCGCTATTTCCGGCTGCCTTGAGAGTTTTCCGATGAATATGTGCAAGGTTGAACGCACTTCTTTGCTTTAGAGCCATGCGTGTAGTGGTACCAACAATGTGGATGGTCGGCTGGTGGGTCTCGTGGCCGAGAATTGCCACGCCGGCCTTTATAATTTGATCTAGACCGAGACCGTGATCGTGAGTTACCCTCTAGTCTACTAGTAAGTGAAGCTACTTGCCTGGTCAGTTCACTTATCTGCTTAGCCATTAGCTGGTACTCTGATGATGAAGCTTCGGTAGACGTGCTGGCCACTTGCGGGGTTGCAGGCGCGATCTCATGTACCTTGTCCGCCAAATCTGCTAATTTTTCCAAAGGTAAGTCATTCTGCGAAGCAACAATAGTTTGTACATTTTGTGGTAAACGACTTGACCATATAGTTTGTAGAAAATCGTTGGGGATTGAAGGGCCAGCTAGGTCTTGTAATCGCCTTAAAAACTGTGAAGGTTTTCTATCGCCAAGGTCCTCGTGCATAAGTAAGCGTTTTACTTTTTTTTCTTGCGATGCAGACAACCGTTTAATAAGCTCAGTCTTTAATTTTTCATATTTGCCTGTCTCAGGAGGATTTTTGATGATGTCTTTAACCTCAACTGCATAGGTGTGGTCGAGCTGAGCAGCCACGTAATAGAATTTTGTGACGTCACTTGTGATATTAGAAAGCACGAAATTACCTTCACATTGTGCAAACCATAATGCCGGTTCTTCTGGCCAAAAAGGTGGTAGGCGAACTGCAACCCTGCACAGCTCCGAAGATATTCTTCCTTCCGAAGTCGGTAGCTCACTAATTTCCCTTTCACCGCTGTTCTTCTCCATTTTGTCCAATATCGGGGTCACCACTGTAGGTAGATTAGACCGTGTGTACCTAACCTGAACCTAACTTCAGCCTAACGGTCGTTTAGGGTATTTAAATTAAACGCCGATAGAAACAACTAAATTACGTTATTATTTCGAACACAGATTTTTACAGAGATAGAACAAGGTAGTAGGAAGTAAAAGTACTAGAAAACAGTTAGCAAGCAGAGAGGAAGAGAAAAGTTAAAGTTATAAGGCAAGAAGTAAGAAAATAGCAGTTGAGCACTAGGAATTCTAGATTACGAGTTAGATTTCACGGAGCGTGCGCGCGGCCTCTCTGCGTGGAAAGCAAAATCGGTCTGGTGAATCGAGAAAATCGATGATCCACGATTGAGCGCCGATGACGCCCGAAACACGAAGGTGAGCGAGGTATGCCGAGCGCGCCCGATGTCCGTGCCTGTGGCGCCGCGAGGCGGTGGTATTTGAAGATGTATTCAAATATTATAGGTCACCGCTACAATACTTTGTCGGCCGTTTGGTGTAGTGGTTCTAAAGCGGACTGCTGAATTGAAATGATGAATTTTAATTTCTGTGGATCGTATCGATGTGGATGGAACATGGAACGGATCTAGGTGTTATTATGTATGTATTTAAAAAAAACTATATAATTTAGTATATCCGTTAAGCTAGCACCCATTACACAAGCATATTAATTGCTTAGGTATTTTGGGGCTAGATAGAAGATAGAATAACGCTGTGTGAATTTGTCCAAAGATATTTATTTATTATTTGTTTATATATCTGAAATAAAAAATATTTATTTAAGATACCTACTAAGAAGGGCATTGTAACTAGGTCGAAAACAGTAAATATTGGTCAGTTTTTAGCTTTATTTTTTTTTCTAGCTGCCACCAGTGATCCTTCAGTGCGAGCGAGCCCTAACAATGTCACCGCCAAAAGCTGCGCTCGCGCATGTGACGTGACACTTGTCATAACACTTCGCTTTTTACGCGGCGATTATCGCGGGCGATGCGTTGCGTGCGTCGCACGTCGGGTGTCATAATACGTAAAATAACCACTTGATAAGTGCAAAATTTTCATAACTGCGCGCGAAGGAAATATTAATGTGTTTGATAAAATAATTTGTAAGTTTTCTTATCGTTATTCATCTTTGAATAAAATTTTAACGTCGATGTTAAACACGCCGTTTACAGTATCAGAATTAAACCATCTTCATACAAATTGTCCTTAATTTGATTTTGATTGCAATCTGAAGAGTTTTCGAATAGCCTTTTAAAGTCTCGCGAAATGTTAATAGTTGTTAATGGAACTAATAATGTCGAAGTCGCTGAAATGAAGGATTTATTTGACTCGACAAGTTAGCTTGTTTCATTAATATTCATTGAATGGACACCATTTTCGTTTCAAAGAACTTGTTTTTAAGTTTAGTGTTATTGTAATATTTGAACCCAAACAAAACAATATATTACATGTACCTATTCGTTATTACAATGAACCACTAATGTACAATGAATGCAAGTTTTTGTTGAGAGCTTTAACTTTGACCGTTAATTTTACGATATAGTCAATTTATGAAACAATCCCTGAGCAGGAAACCTTTTGAACCTTATTAAATTTACTTCTACAGCCATATCCCTGCTGACCAGTAACTCTACGGGCCTCATTGTTATGCTAGAGCTGTACGGAGTATAATTAATTTACTATCTACTCATGGCGATACCTTTCAGAAAACACATCTGGTAAATATAAAAGAGGATAATGTGTGTATTCTGAAATATTCTTATGCTAAAACTTGCCTGTCTCAGCTGCTTCGCCCACGTGGTTTTTCTCGGATTGACAGAACAATTATGCTTATTTTGTCGCGTATCCTTAGGGAATTTCCTAGAAAATTGCGCAGAATCTGAAGAACAGGATTAGTTCTAGGAATTTTACCACCTACGAGTACAATCGTGATTGCACACTGTTTTGTATTGTTGTTGTTTGTATTAATAACATACCTAGCTGTATTTGTTTTTGACATTATCTCAGTTGTGTTAGAAAATACGATTAGACATTTTGTAGACCTTCTCAGTAGCATTTAGCTTTACAAAATGCCGTTTTTAGATCGCATCATACCTGATGCTAGTATGCAACTACAACACTTTGTTATAGTGTATTGCTGGCTTGCCTGGTTCACTATTTCCTTAAGTAGTGTTCTAACGTTTTATTTAGAGCAGAATACCTTCGCTTTAATTGGCATAGAACAAAAATAACAATAATAAGGATAATTTTATTATTGTTATTTTTTTTATTTGTTTTGAGTTTGTTGAGTTTGATTTCTAGGCTACTCAAGCAGCTTTCGACCATAATTATGGACGGGCTATGAGTGGTTCTAAAATGAACGGTTGCTTTCTATGAGCTTCGTTCAAACCTACATATTAACTACAATATTGCAGAACGTCCCTTTCTAGAAAGGCTTGCATTGTCCGCCTTAGAATGTAGGAATTATAGCAAAGTGCTCCAGTAGGAAGGAATTCGCTGGTGCGGCCCAGTGACCGCAGTGCTCCCGCGGCCAATTGGTTATCTGGTATGTTTAAGATTTCATAATAAGATTCCATTTCGTAATTACATTCGGCACAATTGTTTTAAATCTGGTAAGCTAGATTTCATTTAAATCAATGTAATTTTTAATTCAAACAAAAATGAGTTCATGAAAAATGTGCTTAATATGAGATGTTTTGATTTCTAATGTTTTTTGTGAAAATGTATTCTCATTATTAGTTTTAGTTAGACCTACAGTTAGGTTTACATTAATGTAACAGCTTCAGAGGTTGTTGACGATCCGATAAATGAATTCTAGTTCGATGGTTCCGACTGTAAAAGTAGGTAGACAGGCGTTTATCATGAGTTAACAGTAGGTTGTCTAAACAGATCATGTACGAACCAGCGTGACGGAAGGGCTGCTAGCATAATAATATGAAATCATAGTGCACACGAGCGGGTACTGGGAGCGCTGAGACGCGGCGCGGCGCGGGCGCAGGTGCTTTATGGTTATTAAACCAAATCCAATCAGCGGCCGCTGCGCTCGAGGGATGCGACACACGCAAATATTTACCATCGAATAAAATCGCCTATGTTCGAAAACGAACCCCAAATGCTGATATAGATAGACAGATAGAAGTGTTTGTCATTTCGTAGTCTCGTAGATAGACCTCTACCTACATTTCGCAGCCATTGTATTATTTTGTACTAGCTTTTGCCCGCGGCTTCACCCGCGTGAAATTTAGTATGTCACATAATCGTCATAAATTAGGTATAGCCTATATGTTAATCTGGATTATAAACAATAATACTGTAAAGTTTCATCAAAATCCGTTCAGTACTTTTTGCGTGAAAGAGTAACAAACATCTAGACGTCCAGACATTTAGACATCCAAACTTTCGCATTTATAATATTATAGTAGGATATTATTTCATACCATGTTTGTGTTTTGCCTTCATACCTCAAACAAGCTGCAGTAGCATTCAGCAAAAACGTTGCTTGTGGGTGCAGTGTGTAAAAAACTAAAAACAAAATTTGTATTAATTTCTTTTAGACTTTGGGATTATTTGACTATGGATGTAAGGCTCCACTAAGTATACTCCGGGATGTAAGCCTTTCTCAGAATCCACACATATCTGAAAGTATCTGTTACTGGGTTCTCGATATCAGCTACACCTTATAATATTCGTTGTAATAATATTCGCAGTGGTCCCATCCCTACCTGTTTGCGTAGACGCGCGCCTGCGCAGCGGAGAGCGAACGCGCGTCCGACGACGCTCGCGTGAACTACACGCGAATTATGAAAACTGCTAGACAAAGTACCGACTGGCTTTGTATCTAGTCTAGTTTGTAGCGGACATAAAGCATGAAGCGCATTACAATATGCGCTGTAATATGAATTAACAAATATTTGTTATATTCGAAGTTAGTTATTACTTAATAGGCATTGTAATTTGCAATAGCAACCCATAAAAAACTCATAAAACTCATTTAGTTTTTCAAAAAGCATTTTAAAAAGCACTTTTACATGTCCCAGTATTAACCCTACCACTGCTTCAGGACAATAAATGGGCCAGTGCTGAGAAGAAGCAGCGCAAGAAACTCAGTCACCTTAAATTATTAGGATCATACCTATGTGATGATAGATTGATGATGATAGATGAAGTGATCATCGAGCTTCACACTTATCACTATTTTTATCGTCATCAAATCTATAATTAATATCCTATATACTTACATTTGGCATATTTCGCAAAATTGCAATATGACTATGCAAGTCCTTGTAAATAATTAAATCTTCTTCTAACTGCTTCAACATCCCTTATTACACATAATAAAGTGTAAACACTGTTGTTACGGATCAAGAGTGTAATGTTGCATAATGCCCGCTCCTATCATAATTATTATGATAGGAGCGGGCATAACGTCTCAGTCGAAGGATGGAACACAAAACAAAATACTCATTACCTAGTTTTTTACCCAGTGATTTCCATAGCTGGATAATTATCATCTTCGTCATCAGCATGAGTCTATTTCAGTACACTGCTGGACGTAGACCTGTACCTCTAGTAGGAAAAACTTTCGAGTTCGTTTCGTTGCGTATTCAAAGTGTCATCGAAAAATTTTGTATGAAAAATTAAACAGCGCCCCCTAGGGCGGCTATAATATAGGGGGCGCTGTTTAATTTTTCATACAAAATTTTTCGATGACACTTTGAATACACAACGAAACGAACTCGAAAGTTTTTCCTACTAGAGGTACTGTTCTTTAAAGAGCGGCGTAACGCGTCAGATTGTGCGAATGATCGCGAAGTAGAGTATGAACTCTACTTTAAATTAGTTCTGCGACAAATATAGCCAAGGTGCCTCCTACAAATTACAAACAGAGTGTCCACTCGCGGGTTATATTGAGGTAATTTGGACCTCTCGAATCTTCCAAATAACTTCCATCCGAATTACCATACGACAACGGTTTATTACCGCGTCGTGTAGCATTAGTTTGGGGAACACGAACAATAAGTGCGGCCGAGAAAGGTGAATTAAAATCCCGCAGTTTATAATGAAGCCGGGATGATCGCAGCACCCCCTGATTTCGCTTATTATTAACGACGCCACAATTTGTGAGACACCGGCTCGTGAGCGTGTTATTATCGGTGGCCCGTGCACTACGGTGCGCTGGCGCAGGGAGGTCAGCCAGCACACAAGAGAAAGCTCGGATTGATTCAGCTACTAATGCCCGTATTCACAAACATTATTATAAGGTCTCACAGTGCGCGTGGACGCACAAGGTGATTCATGAACCAATCACAAAGCTCTATTCAACGCTGATTTTCTGCTTCACTTAGCAAGAATCGTTTGTAAATACGGGCGTATGTTTCTGAGACTCTAGTTCCTTATTGGGAGGAGTATTTTGCAAGGAATTTGAATCAAAGATTGATATTTTCCCGGGATGTAGGTATAGGCCGCTTAC